TGTGTGTGTGTGTGTGTGTGTGTGTGTGTGTGTGTGTGTGTGTGTGTGTGTGTGTGTGTGTGTGTGAGAAAGAGAAAGAGTCAGCATATGCTACTGTGGCAGTGAAAGGCCATGTTCATGGGAATAATGGAGGTTTGGGGAGGGGAGGCTCAAAGGGTACGTTATAGGTTGAAGTGTGGTGTGGTATGACGCTTTTTTAATTAATGTCCATATGTCAAGAAAAAGTGTTTTAGACATTGGCCATAGCACTATTTGGGAAACTTAATTTGCTAAACAAGGACAGACTGGCTTAGTTTTTTTGAACAGACCACACTTCCAACGTTGTCTTCACACATGAAGAACCAGAGTGTTAGTGGATGGATTGTGTTTAGGTTTCCCCTTAAGCTGCATTTAAATCTGTGACCTTAGGACCCCAATATAACATGCCCATGTGCTAAAGTGCAACAAAGGGTTATTGATACAAAACAGCTCAGATGCCAGCAAACTTTTTTCCATCCTTCTTCGTTCAGTTCTTCACTCCTCTTCCCTTGCTCATGCCTGGCAAGATAAAAGGCAGCATCAATGCAAGGACTGGTTTAAACAACAGCCCTCTTGTTGCATTACACACTGAACCTGCAGGGATTTTTAAAGTGAGAAGCAGAACAAGATGATTGCCATATAGAGAGATGGGGATGTATATTTTCAAGAGAATTCTCAGAGGTCACATTCTGATCTTGGTTATGCCAGTGTAAATCCACAGTAACTCCACTAACAGCTTACTCTGGACTGACACTGATCTCAGATCAGAATATAGCCGCTGTCTAAGATGTCTTTCATCATGTAATCTAAGCACCATGGATAGAAATGCCTAGATAGGTGGAAGCATGGCTAATAAAATATTAAGAGGGTGCTTTTTTTGCTTTGTTTTGTATGATTGTTCAAAGTACTCATGAATGGTTCAGATTACTCACTTCTAGCAGATTTACATTAATAAAAAAAGAGAAGTTGGAAGAACAAACTAATGATTATCAATCTTCCTGTTTCAGGGCATAGGATGATCACCACTTACAATCTGGAAAAAGGTCCTTCCTCCTACCTGGGCACACATGAGTGTGTTGTTAGAGCTTCGTGCCTTCTCATGTTAAACAATGCCAGAAAAAAATATACTAAACTAAATCATGGCTCTTCAACCTAGGCCTGGATCCAGCAAAGCACTTTAACATGTGAGAAATCCCACTGACTCCAGTGGGACTACTCAAGCGCTTAAAGTTAAGCACATGCTTAAGTGGTTTGCTGGATGGGACTGTACGTGATGGGTGCTCTGTAAATGTTGCGGTAGAGAGACAGATTGTTCTGGTATGATATAGCAATTTGTTACAGCTTTTCTATTATTGTTAGGGGGCTGTATTCTGTTTTCAGTTACATCAGTGTAAATCTGGAGTCACTCCATCAAGTAGGGTTACCATATTTCAGCAAGCAAAAAAGAGGACAGGAGGAGCCCCGCCCCTGTCCTGCCCTAGCCCCGCCCCTGCCCCTCCCACTTCCTGCCCCCCCTCAGAACCCCCAACCCTCCCCCCGTTCCTTGTCCCCTGACTGCCCCCTCCTGGGACCCCTGCTCCTAACTGCCCTCCAGAACCCCACCCCCTACCTAAGACCTCCCTCGTTCCTTGTCCCCTAACTGCCCCCTCCTA